CTACTGGTATTTGATGAAGATGAGGAAGATGTTGGTGATAAAATTGTGTTTACTCCAGATATAATATTATCATATTGTTGATTATACTTTTTCATTTGTTCTGCTAATAATTCTTTTTTTTTTTGTGCTAACATTTGTTTTCTTTTTAATTGTGCTTTTTTATATTCTTCACTACCATCATCATCATCATCATCATCTAAAAGTGTTGAATTATAATTTGATTTTAATTCATCATTATTATTATTGTTGTTACTATCATTATCATCATTGTCATCGTCATTCCCAATACCACTTGAAGTAAATGTTGGTGTTGCTGGTTGTGAATATTTTCTTTGGTAGTGACCCATCATCGAAGCTAATTTGCTTTCTCTTTCTTTTTGTTTTCTTTCTAAAATTTTTTCGACTGTGGCATCAGCAGTATTTCCATTTGTTGTATCGCTGGTACTGGTGGTAGTATTAGAGGTTGAGGTGGTGGTACTGTTTCCATCTTCATTATTTTTTTCTATATTATTATTTTCTGTGTCATTATTTATTTCTATATTATTATTATTATTATTATTATTATTTTCAATATCATTTTTTAAATCATTATCATTGTTATTAATATTATTATTTTCTATATCATTATTATTATTATTATCATTATTATTAATATTATCGTTATTATTTGGATTTTCCATAACTAACTATGATTAAATTAATTAATTGTGATTGAAAAAAAATATTATCTTAAATAAAAAAAAAAAAAAAAAAAAAAATTTAATAATTTTCAAAAAAAAATAAAAAAATAAAAAAATAAATTGTTTTTTTTTTTTTTTAATTTTTTTTTAAAATATTTAAAATTTTCAGATATTATCTTTATTTTTTTAATTAATTTTAGAAATAATTCTTATAATGTCATTTATTGGACCTGCTAGACCCCCATCAACAAATAATAATAACAATAATAATGAAAAGGATGATAGTAACATAACAGGTAAAAAAAGAGTTGGCCCTTCATTAGAAAATAATAATGAAAAGAAAATTCAATTAGATAATAACGATGAAAATACAATAATGTCACCTCAACCACCTCCAAATAGAAAACCAGTTGGTCCAATACTAGATGATAATGATAGTAAAATAATGTCACCTCAACCACCTCCAAATAGAAAACCAGTTGGCCCAATACTAGATGATAATGATAATAAAATAATGTCACCACAACCACCACCAAATAGAAAGCCAGTTGGCCCAATACTAGATGATAATGATAGTAAAATAATGTCACCACAACCACCACCAAATAGAAAACCAGTTGGTCCCAGATTAGATGATGATTTTGATAAAAAAGAACATGAAACTATGTCGCCACAACCACCACCAAATAAAAAACCAATTGGTCCAAAATTGGATGATATTGATTACAATAACAACAACAACAACAATAATAATAATACAACACTTCAACCTATTGTTAAAAAAAGAGTAATGGGACCAAGGTTGGACGATGATCAAGATAATAGTAATACTAAAGTTAATAATAGTAGAAATAATATAGGGCCAGTTATTGGACCAAGATTCAATGTAAATAGTAGCCACAGCGATGATAGTGATGATGAAGATGACGAAAAAGAAAGAATTTCACAAGAATGGCAAAGAGTTAGAGGAAATAGTAATAATGGTAATGAATCAACCAATAATGGAATTAAAACACCCTCACAAAGAGAAGAGTGGATGACAATGATTCCCTCCTCCAAAGTAAGCTCAATGACAAATAGACAGTTTAGCCAAAAATCAACAATAGCTCCAACAACAACAGCACCCCCAGATCCATCAAAAGACTCAAAAGAATATTTCGAACATTTAAGACAATACGAAACTGAAGAAAAAATGAAAGAATATAATCAAAGTAATAGATCTCAATCATTATTAGAAATGCATAAATCCAAAGCAAGTGCCAATCCGCAATCATCAGGAAAGAAAAATTTCCACTTTGACAGAGATGAAGATTTACAAGTTGGTAAAGTTGATAAAGAACATTTAAATAATATTGTAAAGGACTCTGGTTTATTAAATTCAAAATTTGGTAAAAGTAATTGGATGTAAATAATAACGATAATAATAATAATAAAATAATTTAGTAACTATAATAGCTATAGTAATTATAGTAATTATAATAACTAATACTAACATAATTATAATAATTATTTTTAACTAAAATAATTTCAGAAACTAAAAAAAATTAAAAAAAATAAAA